TGAAGACTGAAGACCCCGCCCATCTTTTGCGCAGCTGAGTTATTTGATCTTGGCCTAATTTATGCAAAATAATTGTTTCTTTTCTTTTTTTTCGGTTCTGTTAACCCAACTATAATTTTGATTTTTTCCCATTTTTTTTAAGTTTTATAGGGGATCTTCCGCATTTCCGGTTCGCTTTTGGCACGTGCTTGAAGGGGGTTCTTCGCACAGCAGATGTGCTGGAAATAGTAAACAAAAAAAAAAGTAACAAGAAACCAAAAACAAACCAAGGAAAACCCATTGAAATTTTCGTTCGCGCCTAGGCAAATTTTGTAGCGCGTGCGCGGGCTGAAAAGGGGGCGGCTGGGGGCGTTGGGCGGCGGGGGCGTGGCAGGATACCCCACCCATCATCACTCACAGTCAGATGTTCGCCTTCGAACATTTTGCGGTTTGTTTTGCTCGCCGGTTACGCGTTAAAAAAAAACGAAAAGAAAAAGCAAAGAAAAGCGAGAAAAAGAAATTGTGTTTGCAGAGACACAAAAAGAGGGCGGAAAATAGGGGAGGAGGGGTGGTCCTCTAACTATGACAAAGGTGCCAAGTTCTGCACCACCCACCCCTCAACATAGAAAGTGAAAAGTTTGCCAAAGTACAAAAAAATACAAAAAAAAAAAACGCACAAAAAAACGAGGAAAAACCGGCACACAAAAAATCAAGAAAAACCCCCCGAAGAAAATTCAAGTCAAAACAAACGCAGGAAAAACGAGTAAAAGATTCATTAACTTGTTAGCTTCTGTTTCAGGTCATTTTCATGGATTCCCCGTTTGGGGTTTTTTTCCATTGTTTGTTCTTGGCAAGGGTTAAGTATACGCCAAGTTGGCCGACCAAAAATTATAATAATAGTAACAAGAGAATTATGGAGAATTATTTGCTGACACTTGGGCCATAATTTCATTATTAAGAGATAAAATGAAAATAAAGATATAGAAAGTTGTGTTTGCTCTTTAAATTAAAAATAAAACACTTAGCTTTAAGTATATATCAAAAATAAATAAATATTTCAGTCCTTTCTTTCACCTACTTATTTAATTGAATTCACACCTTTGTGTTTCCTAAAAACAGCGAATCAGAAAAGCTGGTTAATAAAAGTCAGCGAATAATAGGCAAAAAGCATTCACACTTTTATTCGCTTTCTGAGCGCTTTTTGTGCCAGTGAAAGAAACTTTAAAAAATTAACAAAAAGTTGGTAAACAAAAAGCGGAACAAAAGGCAAAAGGCGAGTGGAAAACAAAGGCGGGTGCAAAACAATTCAGCAGGAATGTGAAGGCGGCAGGGAGAGGAATCCCAGGACTCCCAGGACTCTCGCAGGACATGCAAGGCTGGCCAAAACGGATGCACCTAGCGAGACAGTTTGGACCAAGTCCTGCGGATCAGAGTTTTTAGTTTCCAGTTTCTAGTTCCACATTCAGTCGCCGTCTAAATTCTCAGACTCGCCGCAGCGGAAGTAACTCGCTGAGCGCCGCTGTTGTGGCTGATTATGCTGCCAGTGGCAGTAGGGAAAAAGGTCCTGGGGAAAAAGGGGGGTTTTTCGAGAAACGAAAAAGGGGGTCGGGGGGTTTGTCTGGACCATGTGAGCCGCGCTACGCTGGCGTCTCTCCCGCTGAGCATCGCAGAACGGGCCAGTTTCAATTTATATCCGCCATGTCCTTGCCCCCCGCGAGCATTCAAATCCAGCTATTCCCCTTTTCTACACGGAAAACAAAAGAGGAGGTTCAGCATATAGGAAAATATTCCATCTTAAATGGTAAGGAATTTCAAAGAACTTTAGGGCTATGAAGACAATGAAATGTAATAAAAGCCTTAATATTCCAAAAATATTATTTGGATATTTTATTTAACAATTTATTTCTATATTAGAAAAGTATTTAAAACCTGTATAAATTAAAAAAATATAAATTCAAATATAAACTGATGAATATTAAATATTTAAATGTAGAAATATTATTTATTAATCTCTTATTAGATTTCTATATACTAGGAAAGTATTTAAAAATCTGGTTGAACTTTGAAAGAATAAATTGAAATTAAATTATTAACCTTTAAATATTATAAATCCAATCAATGTTTTTAAAGAATATTTAACGGAATGAAAGGATATTTATTTTTATAGCTCAAACGAATCTAAAATCTAGTAAATGCTTTTGGGCATTAATCCATCTGTTTGCTATCTGTGAGCAGTTTAATTATACATAAATACGAGAGTTGGCATTCCGCCCGGAGATCCTTGTTCCTTATAATCCCCTTCCCCTGCCACTTCCACTTCCCCTTTGGGAGCCAACATCCAAAACTGTGGCCGCAGCTGGACAAAAGTTTGACGTCCACATGACGACACGTTGACACTGCGGGTGCAGGACCCTCGGGGAGTGGGTGGTTTTTCCTCCTGCTCCTGTTTTTTTTTGGGATGGTAAATGGGTGATGGGGCAGGGGCAGGGGCACCTCTGTTATTTGTTATAACAATTGCTGAACGGCTGAAAACGCGAGGAGGACGTTGCCATGGCGAACAGGAGCAGGATAACAAAGGAGGCGGCAGCGGTCGCCTGGTCGGTCGGTCGTTTGGTCGTTCGGTCGCTCATTTAATGGACACTGTTTGGTCGATAATCAAATTAAAAGAAAACCCAAGGTACGTGGCAGGGAAAACAACTTAAAGCCAAAGCCAGGACGACCGTGAGATGTCGTCCACCCATTGGAAAAATTAGCCCAAACCAAACCAAACCAAACCCCCTGGTCAGTCAGTCAAATGGGAGGTGGCGGTTAAGGAAGGGTTAACAGCGGGTTAAGTGCGGGCACGTGGGCAGGTGCAAAAGCGTGCCGCTCGATTAACGCTGACCATATAGAATATCGAAAATCGAACCCCTCATTCCGACGTTTGTTCACCCAAGCTCAACGGCCAGCTATGCAGGATATTATTCATTACTATGCAGGAATTAACTAACCGGCAGCTGAAAGTTGTATTGTTTAATCGAATATTATAATTGCCTTTCAATATCTTTGATTAGTTTGTTTTGTTTTCGCAGAAAGTTATGAAATAGCCAATACTAAAAGCTCTAAATTAGAATTTCGAACCTAGACTCCAATTGGAACCTCCCCTACTTTATCACCCCCATTCTTTTCCCTTCGCTTCCCCCAACCATCCATCCATTTTAGGCACTCTCAATAACTTGTCGTACATGAACATTGCGTCTTGTTCTCGGAAATTAATCATCAGGCCCATTGTCCCACTCCCTCACCCTCTCTTCCCCTTTCAACCGCCAACCCCCCGCCAGCCACCCCTTTTAACCCATGTTTCCGATAAGAAGAGAGCACCCATGGGCGGCATGACGAAATGCTGTAAAACTCATATTGTTTTTGTTGCTGTCTCGGAGATCAAAAAGATTCCCACTACAAGAAAAAAATGTCAACAGGCGAAAAAGAAAAAAAAATTATGAGGGTTGGGGGTGATTCGAAATTGAAATTGTAGCAATTAATTATGATAGAATGGATATTTCAGAAATGGGAGGGGGGTTCACATTTTCGGAAAGAGGCTAACAACAGCAATTTTGGGGACAACAGATATCGATAAGGATGGGTTCTACCCACTCCGCGGGTCCGATGCTCTCCATCTGAAAACAAGTCCAAGCTCCGATCGTCAGCAATTAGGCCTCTTCTTATCACTACTACTCCCCCCTATACATATTACCTGGAAAAAAAAGAGAAAAAAGGGCGGCAGAGCCAGCACCCCGCTTTGTTGATTTTGATTTGTAAGACAAATAGACCGAAAACGAGGAGAAAAGAAATAGAAACCCAGAACAGCAAACAACTTTGTGAGCAATTAAAATTGTTTGACGACATGGGGATGGGATCGAGAGGGGCTCCGAAAAGGTGGAAGATATCCATATATCTAGGTATACGACTGGGGATAGGGAGTGGGCAACTGGCCGAGTCAAGTGCGTCACTGTCCACTCGCTCTGCGTTGCTATCTAGATAGGATTGATAACACTGCTTGCTCACTCGGCAAATGGAAAATCTGTGCAAAAAAGCGAAAAAAAAAGAGCCACAGCAAAACGTTCCCCAAAAAAAAGCACAAAGTTATGACTTTATGGCGGGGGACAATCCATATTATGACAATGATATGGATATGGCCAAAGGCATATGCCAGCTTTATGGCTTTACGGCCCTGATTTCCCTTTGAACTAAGCCGTTTTTCCAGCGTCCGAGAAATCGCCTCAAATTGGCAAGGAAATTCTACGGAATGACCATAGGAAATACACATGAATCGTAGGCAATCTCGCAAAACAGCGATTGTACGATTGTAAAGCGAGTAAAGAAAAAAAAAGAAACAGAAAATAAATCTGAAAAATCATTGCAAACACACCTAGGCGGGCTCTGATTTAGGCATGGCGATATCGCAGCGATAACTGCGACTAGATACAAAAATACCGAAGGAGACCTTCCATATGGCAAATGGGAGGGGTGCAGGTGTACGAGGTGTGACATGGTCGACTGATATGGCCTGACCATACGAACACCACACAGCCAACACATCCTAATTGCCTGGCAAAGCGGAGAGTGCGCTTGTGGTGACCCCAATATTTATAGAAATGTCCAGTTATTTAATCGCTATCTAGTTGGTATGTTTATACTTGTATTATCTTACTTTGGTAAGTGGTCAGGAGTAAAATTAAACTTATTGTTGAGTTATAAAGGGTTTTTAAGGAAAATGGTGACCCCGATTTTTTTAAAACTCTAAGCTAACAAAGTTCTAAATAACCTCAATTAAAACACACAACTTATAAATGGTTTTATCAGTTTAAAAGCCCCTAAAAATAATCCATTTCCCACGTTCTTTGGTCCATAAACATTTCATGAGCACCTGACAAAAACTTCCATCAGCTGTTTGCACTTTGCCGGGAAAAAAAACAACCCAATTGGGATATCCCAGGTGGAAAAGTTTTCCCTATCCCAATTCCAATTCCAATCCCACTTACCTTGTGCAATTCGAACCGCGGGCATTTTAATTCTCATTTTTGTTTCCAGTTTCCGAAGGTGTTTCAAAACTTCGCAGACACAGGCACACAAACCCAGCGAAGGGCAATGTCCTGCCGATCTCGTTAATAAAGTTTTCTTAAGTTATTGCTTAGTACTCCTCTCCTCAGTTAGTTATTATATTGCACGGGCCTCGTTTTTTGTATCTTTTTTTGGTTTCAAAAAAAATCACAAATCCACCAATTGGAATCTCTAGCTTTTTTCGCAATTTCCTAATCAGACAGCTTCAGTTTGGTTTTTGGGGCTTTCATTTCGAGGGCTGCCATTTTCAATTAAAAAAAAAAGAATTTAGGTTTAGTAGTACACTTGTCACTGGGGTTTTTCCTTCTCGTACGACTCCTGTGATCTGTGATTATTATGTGATGAGTATAGGAACCTTTTGCACGGGGCGCTCTTTATATGCTTTTTACTTTAAAGGATTTCTTGTTGTTTGTTTGGCAGTTGTTGTTGTTGTCACAAACGCACGCGGCATCATTTGAATGGAAATAAGGGAAAACCAATTGGTTTTTTGTTGGCTGATTGCTGTGAAAACCAATTGGATTTTGTATTTCTTTGATAACACACGGCGAACACTTGAAAAAAATTGCACAAAGTGTGTGTATAAATATTTTTGATTTTGTTTAGTATGTAATTTGGTTTATATTTTCGCTATTTGCTTTGAATATTTTCTGCATTTATTTTTGTTTGTTTTCGTTTTTGTTGTGGGTGTTGTTGGTTGGCTTTTGGTTGCTGGAATGGCCGCGACGGCTAACGGTAAGTCGGTGTTTCTAGTGTTTTTGGCGGCGTTTCGTAGTCTAGCGGCTAGCAGCTCCGTTTTGTGTGTGGTGCTAACGGTAACGGCGGAAGTACGCGACTACTTGCGACGTTTTAGCGGCGAGCGCGTCTTCGCTGCCGCTGCTCTCGGCGGCGTCGCTGCGGCAGCGCGGCAGCTTTTGTACAGCGGGCAACAACAAAGCACACACACCCTTACTCCTTCACACAACCCACACACTGGCGAACGCGAGCGAACACGAACGAACACGAGCGAACGCGTTGCAAGCGGGCACGAAAGCTTGCGGAAGAGAGCGAGCGAGAGAGAGGGAGAGAGAGAGAGAGAGAGTGGCAACTCCGGTAGAGAGAGTGGCAAGCTTATGCTTAGGCGAACATGTCCGAACGCGACGATGTCCTGCGAGCGACTGCAGATAATTCAATTTTATTTCAGGCTTTTGCACTTTAATGCCAATCTGGCAATTTGATTTTCGGTCGCGGGCGACTGCGACGCCAACGCAACGTCGACGCCAACGCAGCCCTTTCTTAACGGTGTTTTCTGGGTGGTGCGGCGGTGGTGGCGGTGGTGGTGGGTTGTGTTGTTGCTTTTGTTGGGTGGCAACCGGGCGTTTGTTTATTTGCCGCCGGTCATGTGTGCGTGTGCGTGTGTGTGCGTATGTGGGGGTGGACATTGCACACCCACTCGCGTGTTAGAGCGAGACAACAGCGGCGACTCACAAGGATTGACTCTGGTCAATCGAAGGATTGGGTCTGTGATTTGGAAACGGATTTACATACAGATAGCCGCCCAGCATTTGCAACCCTCTCGCCGGCAGGACACAAACACAAGCACAAAAAACGAGGACAACAACAATATAACCACAAGCTCACAGGCGTTTAGGGCGCGCGCGCACCTTTCGCGCGAAAAATCAAAACAATTAAAAGAACTCGGGAAAGGATCTTGTACAATGTGGGTCGGATAAAAACTATTGCAGTGAAGTTATAAACTTAGAACATAAATTATTCAAAAGAAAGGCAAACAAAGAGAAAGAACCAATGATTAAACCCTTGACAAATTTTATTTTTGGTACTACGAATTTTTAAAAACGTTTCCGAGATTTTTTATTGAAATTTTATTAAAATATTCATTACTTGTTTTTTAAATCGTGTCTGTTCTGATGTGTACTATCGTAAATCATTTACCACCAATTTAGATACATTGCATTTCGAATTTTAAAAAACTTCAAGCGGCTTTGCTTGACCATGTCAATACCATATTTCTTTTATCAGTAAAATTTAAGTTATTTTTATTTAATTTGTTTCATTTATTTCTCTACAAATGTGTGTACCTTAGTATAATTTTAAGTTAAGGAAATATTTAAAATGGAAAAAGTTAAACATTAAAATAATAAAATATAAAAAAATTAAAGATGTTTGATAGTTCTGCCCCCATATCATATCATTCCGCTCTTTGGAGCACGTCCTCGTCGTTCGGCTGTCGAAAAGCGTCTGATGGAGCTTCGGACTTCGCATGCAACTGGACGAGCCAACCGAGCCGACGAGCTTGCAACTTCCAACACGTTTTTAAATCTTCAAAGGTCATGTGGACGGGGGGTGGTGGGGGTATTTGGCTAGTGGCATCCAAGGTGCATCCCTGAATGAACGATCTTCCCCCCTTTTTGGCTTTGGCCCCATCCTCACACCCTTTCGACCGCAACATCGAACATGTTTGCCCACTGGACCACCCCCTTCCCCCACCCACGACCCTCTCCCACCCAACCGAACGGGAAAAAAAGAGCGAAGCAAACAAAACAAAAAACTGGACGCTCTCTGCCGGCGTCGCTGCCGCGGTCAGCGTCGCTGCTGCCATTAATGTCAGGCTTTTTGATATGAGAATCAGCGCACTCTCACATATGAGAGCTCCAATTGTGCGCCAGTGTGAGTGCGAGTGTCTGTGTGTGTGTGGTTTTTGTTTTGGTGTGAGCAGAGGAGTGTGCGTGTGTGTGCGAATTGTATTTGTTGTTAATTGTTTTGGGAAAGTGGGTGGTTTAGGGGGGGTTGGTCTACTATAGGGTCCGAGTTTTCTTCTAATCTCGATTCCCCTTTTTAACCAGTTAATTTAAGATTTGGTATTCGATATAAACTTTTATCAAGGCTTAAACTATATTATTTTCTTTCCCGGTATCAAAAACTTATTCAAAATATTACTATAATACTTACATAGTTTTTTGTTTTTTTAACAGATTAAGTATTTCTAAATATTAGAAATTGTACATTTGGTGGAAAACAAAAAAGAATTATAGTAATTATAATAGTAATTGGTTTATAGAAACTTTTTAAGATCCTTTAATGTTGATCTTGCATGAGGTCCTTTGAGATCTCCTAGTTTTTCTGTGTGCCATAATAGCATATATATTGGCGCTCACACATACATATGTACATGTGAGGAAGTCACACACTCGCACGCATTTTCGCACACTCACACACACACACGCACACATATGTGGCGTCGCACACGCGCGTTCGTCATCGATTGGCTCTCGCACATTTGTTTGACACTCCCCCCGCCCGCTCACTGCCTCCCCCCCGTTCGCCTTAACCCATCCGCCACCCAGCCCCCCACCACCCACCTGCCGCTCTCTCTCTCAGGTAGCAGAGAGCGAGGAGAGGAGAGGACACGAGAGAGCAAGAGAGAGGGAGAGCGCCACCCCAAGGAGGCTGAGAAGGGGGGGCGGCAACAATGTGTGCCACAAAGTTCCAAGGTGATGGCTAGTGGGTGGCGGCCCTCGATGGCGGGGGGAGGGGGTCGGCGGAATAGGGGTCGCCGGGCAGAGCCATAACTCTTATCAGTCGAACGGTAACCGCTCACATGGAATAGTCGGCTGGCGGAATGAAATGGAATGGAAAAGGAGCCCATTTGATAAGGCTCTTAGTATTAACCAAAGCGAAAGGAATGAAACATAATACATATATTATTTTTAAAGAATTTACTAGGTTTTATTTTGGTAATTTTTAAACCATTAAATCACCATAAAACATCAAAAATCATGTTAATTCAAGGGGCACTTTATTTAAAAGCTTAAAAAGGATTTATTTTTAATTTCTTAGCGGTAACTACTTTTCAATATATTTCAATATTAATATTATCTTACTCTGAGGACCTGTTTTGAATTATCATCAAAGTAGGGAGAAAACCTACATATCTGTTTTTTTAAAACTAATTGCCATATGGGTTGACACCCGAAATCATAGCAAACTGACCTCATTCGGCATAAATATATTACTGCCAAAGGTAAAACCGTGTGGGGGTGGCTACCTCTGCCCCTTGAAAGGCAGTTATGCGGATGAGATTCCGATTCCAATTCCGATTCGGCGAGATCAAAGGGATCGAGTTGATGGGGATGGGAAGAGAGGAGCAGAGCGGAGAGGGTGGAGAGTCGCGCAATTACCCGCGAATCCGAAAGGCGAGTGCGAATTTGTCAGACTCGCGATTCGCAACTTGAGAGGAACCTTCGAAATTGCAACGTACGCAATCATCGGGGTTACACTTACATTACACATGCAGGCACTGGGAAAAATTGTGATATGATATACAAAAAATCGTAATTTTACCTAAAACGAAGATCCTGATAATTCAGTATTTTGCCCGTAACAATGTACATAATGATCCAAATATGGATTGTCATACCTTTCTGAACTCGTTATTAAATTTCCAAGCGATTGGCATTAAAACCTGGACATTTTATTTTTTGGCCATTTTTCGTAAAAAATTATGAGGTACCCCCTTATAAAAAAAAATTGAAAATTGGCGAAAATTTTATTTTTCCATTATCACCCGGAAAGTGTCATGGATTTATTTCTTATTTTGTTATCTGTTCAAAACAGTTTGAATTTTTGGTGTAAGACCATTTTTAGCCAAGTTACAGCAAAAAAACAAAAAGAAAAAAATTCAAATTTTTACCAAAAACCCAGATTCCAATTTTCCACAAAAAAATAATTAGTTTTTTGACCGTAACAATGGAAGTATTGGTCCAAATATGGATTGTCATACCTTTCTGAACTCGTTATTAAATTTCCAAGCGATTGGCATTAAAACCTGGACATTTTATTTTTTGGCCATTTTTCGTAAAAAATTATGAGGTACCCCCTTATAAAAAAAATTGAAAATTGGCGAAAATTTTATTTTTCCATTATCACCCGGAAAGTGTCATGGATTTATTTCTTATTTTGTTATCTGTTCAAAACAGTTTGAATTTTTGGTGTAAGACCATTTTTAGCCAAGTTACAGCAAAAAAACAAAAAGAAAAAAATTCAAATTTTTACCAAAAACCCAGATTCCAATTTTCCACAAAAAAATAATTAGTTTTTTGACCGTAACAATGGAAGTATTGGTCCAAATATGGATTGTCATACCTTTCTGAACTCGTTATTAAATTTCCAAGCGATTGGCATTAAAACCTGGACATTTTATTTTTTGGCCATTTTTCGTAAAAAATTATGAGGTACCCCCTTATAAAAAAAATTGAAAATTGGCGAAAACTTTATTTTTCCATTATCACCCGGAAAGTGTCATGCATTTACTTCTTATTTTGTTATCTGTTCAAAACAGTTTGAATTTTTGGTGTAAGACCATTTTTAGCCAAGTTACAGCAAAAAAACAAAAAGAAAAAAATGCAAATTTTTACCAAAAACCCAGATTTCAATTTTCCACAAAAAAATAATTAGTTTTTTGACCGTAACAATGGAAGTATTGGTCCAAATATGGATTGTCATACCTTTCTGAACTCGTTGTTAAATTTCCAAGCGATTGGCATTAAAACCTGAACATTTTATTTTTTGGCCATTTTTCGTAAAAAATTATGAAAT